CTGGCTAAATCACTATCAATTTACTCTGAATATTGAACACTCTGGATCTGAATTAGGGTGGTGTTAATTAGCTGTAATTGGTCACAGAGATGGCAGGGAATTCTGAACACTTTATTAGCCCATTAGCAAACGTGGATTCCTGGGCAATCAATCTTTAGGACTAAAATAATCTTAAATTATTTAGTTACATTTACCAATTAAAATATATAATCCAGTTATGTGTACAAGAAATGCGTGAAATACATTAATGAATTATGAAGCCAATTGACAAGGTATATTTTCTAACACAAAGGAAGGTAATAATAACAAACTGCTGCAAAGCACACATCAAACCAAGATGAATGTTATTCTGATTTTCTGAAAACTCTGGGAATATATAAGAGATCTTCCAAAGTGGTATATTACTTATTGCATATTCATACATGCTACATACTGCATGAGATTCATAGTTTCTTATCTCAGGCTTTTGTAGTGCATGTCACCTTCATACCACGTTAGAAATATTTCAGTCATTTTTATAGTTGTACAACACAACACGATAGGAATGCAAACTTTCATTTCTCTCCTCAAAGGAATGAACATAACATGCTAAAGCGAAACACTGCAAAATTTAATTTCCTTCTTCTGAATAGATAGAACAGAGGCGAATCTTTCAGCACTGATCTAATTCTTGGCTCATGCTTTCCTCAAATTCCACTGCCAAAGCTGACTCTCAGGTCCCATCTCTGTTCTAACCTCTGAACAAACTGATATATAACCACCAAGGAATCAGAGCTTAACACGTGCACCCCGTAACACAGGGTCCGCCTACAATATTTTCCATCATAACCAGCACCTCCTGAATACTACAGAGTACTACAGAATTTAGATGGATGTGTAAAATTCCACAAAATATATCATAAATATTTTTATGAGTGGAGCTTGAATTCATGTCATCTATCTTCAGCTTCCTAAAACCTAAATGTTATCCTCCTTCAGTTTGCTTCTAGTTCAAAAGGCTCCTTTTCAGACAGTGAACAGAGAGGGCCCCCCAAAAAGTAATTTATCACATCTATTACGGGATGAAATCAAACACTTCATTTTCATATAGTTACTCATGGCACAAATTTAATTTTGTATAAATTGTCAAAATTCCCAAACTTGATAGTTTATTTCTAAAGGAATGTGAAACCACAGTAATCAACAAAATCTATGAGTTGTCACTCTATAATCATAGAGGCAACGTGAAGTTTATACTGATAAGTTAAAAGAATATATAAAAGCTAATGTACATATACTAATACTATATGTATTTTTGGAATTATGCACCTTTAAGATAATGACAGCAAAATTGTTAATTGTTCAATTAAGAAAGCAATGCTTGATTTCAAGTCTAAAATGCTTCCTAGTCTGCTGAGGTAAATTCTGTTATGTTTCTACTTAGGTCCACGAATCTCTGTGTAATCTCAGAGTGCATCTAGACAAACTCATAATTTAGGACGTTGCACTTCCTTTAGAGGCTAGCTGCTTTGTCGTGTAATCAGGAGGAACAAATCTGTTTATATTCCTCAGGCACACAGTTCTCAGCCTGGTTTACAGTGTCAGCCCTCTCCTGTTTTCTGCTGCAGTCAGTCCTGTACAGTACAGTCACTACTAGTGGCTTTGTAATGGAAATGGTCATTTCTGGCACAGAAATGTAGTGGAAGTGTCTGGTAGGAGCCCATAGGTCAGAGCCAGCCCCAGTGTGGAGATGTGTGGAATTTTGCCCAGCTCTCCCAGAGCTCTCCCAGCTCAGGTCCTTGCTTCTTGCAAATCTAGCAAAGGACTGGCTCTACAGATGGGCACAGTAGGCTTTTAAGCCATCCCACTAGGAATCAAAGTGAAACACAAAAATCAGCAGGATTAACTCTATGAATGAATGAGCGAAATTCTGACTACAGAGGTCCACAGAACCACTCCTCACATGAGAGGATGGGAGAATCTGCCTTTTAGATGTCTTTGTGTCTCCACTGAGATCTCTGGCTAGGTGCTTCCTAAATACTTTATGTGATTCTAACAGATGTTTCAATGAAATCTTGCCATCACATAGATGTTGACATTTCTAAAGTTCATCTAGTGCAATCCCTCTCAGTGAGTGACTGTTGCCAACACTGGATCCAGATGACCATGGCCATCTGGCTTAGTCTTGAACACTACCGAGGATGGCGAACCTGCAGCCCCTCTAGGCAACCTGTTTCAGTCCTGCACTGCCCTCCTGATAAAAATTTTTTCCTCCCACCAGTGTTCAACATGATACTCTCAGGCAGCAATTTCTGGCCATATCTCCTTTGTTATATCACCTGATACAACAAGGACATCATCTTAGTAACTGTCCTCTGTCTCTAACTGACCTTCAAAAAGCTGCAGACTGCTCTTAGGTCACCCCTCAGTTTCTTCTTCTCTAGACTGACTAAGTTCATCTCTCTCAGCTTACCTTATTCATATGCTATGCAAACTTGAACTTCATGGAACTTCAGCTAAAGAAATGGGAAAGAAATTGAAAACATTGACCTATGAAAAGCAAATGCTATTTAAGGAAAAAATATGCTGAATATTCTGTGGTTTATAGATTAAAAAAATATACAGTTGAATTTAATGTCTTTGATATCTTTCATTTACATTTAAAAACTAGGAAATTAATTTTAATCATGCTTGAAAAACTAAACTTACAGTCCAGAAAATATCTATTCACCTTTTTAATGCAGTTCTGGTTGTTCAAAGAGCAGTGTCAAACCCATGAGAAAATATCACTTGGTTTTAGATTTGAGGAGTCACTTAAAAACATGTTCCAAATTCTACTTTCTGTATTAAAAGAAGGCATTACCTCCACTGGAGGCAAAAGGCCAAACTGTCAGAAGGTGAAAATCATTCTAATATCAATAATGCCACTCAGGTGGTCCTATGTGAAATCTTCAGCTTTTTCCATGGAATTTTTATAAATCAGTGGATTTCACCTGGAAAAATCAGATTAGGAACTCAGGAGTTGAAACCAGGGGTCATGATAAGAGCTATGTAGCCATTGTCATATTTATGTTAATACAGAAAACAGTCTAATAAATCCTGGTTTGAAGAAGCACAGCAGCTCCTTCTCTTATATTTCACCGTTGAGACCTGATTTAAATGCTAGCTTAATTAATCACTTGGGAACAGAAATATCTCTGGGAAGGAAAAGAAACAAACTGATGAACTCGAAATACTGAAGTATCATCTCTCAGAGATCTCCAGAAATACAAACTCACCCCGTAGATTAAATTTTACATATTTTTATTTCTGCAGCCTGGTCTGAAAACATCAGTTTCCATCAACACCTTTGGGATTTAAGCTCATTTAACCAATACAACATGAACATTAGATTTCCATCTGCTTAGAAATTTTCCTTCAGTCTCCAGTACAAGTAAAGAGTCTTATTGCTTGACGTTACCCTGACTGGTATATGGAGCATGCATGAGCTGACAGCCAGTTCAGGAATTACCCAGTTCAGGAATTTTGCCTGAGCTGTGCCCTGGTTCCTGACAGCTTATTGAAAACATATTAAGAATTTGATTGATTGATTTACAGTTAATATGGAAAATTAGAAGTGATTTCTCTAGAAAGAAATATGGTGATTTCTCCCTCGGTTTGCATTTAATGTTGTAACATGAAGTGTGTTGTGTACAAATGAAAATCTCATGCCTGTTTTGGGAGGATCACTCAAAATGAGCTTCATGTTTCACTGTGACTCAAGTGAATTCCTTCTGAAAACAAAGGCAATGAGAGCCCAAAAATTTCAGAGAAGTTTGTGATACGTTTTCTCCACATTTTGAGCTTCTGTGTCATCCATTGATCCAGGATCGGTGGGTATCTTTCAAGCTCTTTCTAGGTCTCAAAAGCTTTTTAAGTAAATCTTGAGGTCAATATTGATATATAACAGGACAAAAATCTATGGATTTATCAGTAAACTAATAAAGTCCAGGAAATTAACTTTGAAACATCAACTCAATTTGTTTTGAATTAAAAGGCAGAAGTCTGAGTTTCAATTCCTAGTTAATTATTGTGACAGATGCGATAACTCTAGATCTAGAGTTCTTATTTAAGAAAGAAAATGACCCTAATTATTTGTTTTCTGCTTCACTTACATGTTTTCCAGTCATTACAGCCTGGTTACCTCACAAAAGTCTTGCTGCCAAAGTGGCTTGCTAAACGCTATACACCCTTTACAAACATAGGCAATTAATTTATTTTATTTTCCATTATACCTCATTGCCAGATACAAGGCATAAAAATCAAGTAGCAATGAGGTAATTTTTGTTTCCCATTCCTTTCATCGAATTCCTCAACCACGATCTCAGCCCTTGTACCACACACTTCATTTTCCTCTTTGCCCTCAGTAACCAATATGTACCCCAAAACTTGATTTTACTCAGCCAATTCGCCAAGTCTTAAACTAAGCTAGAATTATTGCCTTGTTGAAGACAAGGGTGTGACTTAGTTGATGTTAAGAATCTGATCCTCTGTGCTTGTGGCTTATGAAGATCAATTTAGGATTCGTCTGATTAAAAATGACCTTTTGCATATTTTTTGTCATTGAACTCTGTAAGCAGATGTCAAAAGACTCAAAGCAACTATGGAAGATTTTAAAATATATTTCAGAAAATGTGGATTAAGAATTAATTTTATTTTTCTTGAAATAATTTTATATAGAAATGGCAAAACAAAAAACTGAACACGTATGCTCATATACATATTATATTTCTGTCAACACACACATTTTCCAGGATAAAGAGGGGCTGCAAAATAGAGAGATTTAAATTATAAAGACGCACGAAGTGTAAACTAATATGTTCTGACATTTCTCACAATATCTCCTGTCTTGGTAAACTCAGCAGAGACACTGTGCTGGCTCCAAGGTGGTGAGACACATGCAAATTTACATAATACACAGTCTTTAATAAATTTTTAAATTTTAGTATACAAGACGTCAAACAGAATATGCTGAATTTTACCTGCAAAGTCTTTGTAATCCACCAAGTCAAACATTACAATAGCTACTGCTGACCAGGTAACAATCAGAGCAACAACAAGAAGCCATGCTGCTGGTGAGCTGAATGTTGTCACGAGGTCTTCCGTAACTGATTTCTTGCCCACTTTCATGGATGATGAGGGAACGGATCCGTTCTTACCATCTATTATCGTTGTGGTTGTAGACATACGTCCTAGGCAAATAGTCAAAGCAGAGGAAATAGAGTGTAACACTTGGAGCCTAAAACCTGAGAATATGAATGCTGTTTTGAAATCCTTCTGTACTCAGATTATTTAAAATATATGTAAATATTGCAATATTATAGATAAGTTCTTGTGCTTTCTGGAAGAAGTTTTTCCTGAAATGAGGCCACTTTTAGTAAAGTTAGTTTGGGAGCAAACATAATGAAATAGCCACGAATGACCTTTTTGATTATACTACGACATTTTTTAGTCTGCCACGAATAGCTACAGAGTTAGGAGAGTGATTGATGGAAGCATAAAACATCATTACTCTCCAAAGGACTGTCTTGTTATGGGCTGTAGGCCAGATTCTCCAGTGATACGATTAAGTGTACTTCCATTGCCTGTAATGGAGCTAATGCGACTGCTCCACTCGAGGTTTGGCTGGACTTCTGCTGTCAAGGACATGTATCGATGGCAAAAGGAATGCATATACTCCATTTCATCTCACAGAAACATAAATGACTTACATGTCTCATGTCCTTATAAGCTGCAAAGAAGCTTGTAGCTGATTTTTAAATACCTTTGTTTGTGATTTTTTTTTATTTAATGCAATAATCTCCTAAGAAATAAGAGTTAACAGTGCCATAGCAGACTTAATTCCGGAAAGCGTAGGTTTGGTACTAGAAAGGTGGTAGGAAGGTGACGATGTACATTGGTTAAGTAAACAGTTGGCACACATTAACTGTTCAATGGACAGTTAACAGTAGTGACTTAATCTACTTCTTCCTGAGGTATTAAGAAATGTTAATTTTGGACACAAACAAAAACCGTGGCAACTGAAACCTGACAACATTTGCAAATTCTTGTATTAGTCTTCCTCACAAAAGAAAGTGATAACCTAAACAATCTTGGTTGATATTTGTTTTCCAGTACATACAATAGCAATAATAAAAATATTCTTAACTCCGCAGTCAACAACAGTAGAAGAGCACAGTAGCTGCGCTTCGCTTAGTTTACAGTATCTGCTTGTAAGCTCCTGTTAAAATATTAAAAGATACATCACACATGTTCCTGGTCTGGCTGACAATACCAACTCTCATAAATTAATGTCAGTGATTTCAGGGACCCTTGCCATAGAGATCTGAAATTTCAAGGAATCAGGTGATGCCTTGTTTGCTCATACTTTTGCTTCTCATCCTGAGATTACCTATCTTCTGTCACAGCTGATACAAACCATAAAGCTGATAATTTTCTAGACGACAGAGGTAAGGAAAGTGACAGAGCTGCTCTATACAAAGATAAACAGATTTAGTTTCACTTTTCACATAAAAAATGACAAATATGCCATTGGAAACTTATCAGTAGAGCTAAGGTATAAGGCTGTTGAAGACTTTCAGATACTTGCCATCACAACAGGTATGTAGCCTCTAAAGAAATAAATGAAGAATTAGATTCTTGATATTACTCATACCCATAGATACATATTTATCTCTGAAAAAAAGAAGATGGTATAACGAGTCTTCCAGTCCTCAGGCTAATGAATATTGATTTTGTTTCTTTTTCTGTAGAAAGTGAGAGCAATACTCTAAAGCGATACTGAAGTGACCTTTATGTGTCTCATACACATCTGTAGAACAGGGAATCAGAGGTTCCCTAACTCTTAATCTGTCATATGTGCAGAGTGTTCAAATTCATACCCTGATTTATTCTACATTTCCTTTATTATGTAGTGCATTGCATTTGTGTGTACTTCCCTTAGCTCTACCCTTTAAGCTTGCTTCTGCGCAACCAATCTGACACTGATCAGTGCCTCGTTCAAGCCCTAGAAAGCTGCTCTGTTAAACAGCAGTGTTGTGTAAGTAGAACAAGATTGGCATATTACATGCTTTTTGTAACTTATTTGAAATCTAGTTTTATTTATGGAATGTTTATTCTGCTTATGAATAATGTCTATCTACTAAGATAGAATTTATGCTCTTTTTAAAAAATATGTTATAAAACCATCACTGCTTACATTTCTCCAAACATAAATTTTGGATCAAACATTTCACAGCAGGAGGGAAAATCTGCCAAGTGACAACTAGCAATAAAGATCAATTTCCTAAAGTCAAATTCAAAATCAATAGCATTTTGTTATCCTACTGCATACAAAATGCAAGTAATTTGTGCATGCAACAGGTCATAAATGACACATTATGCATTTTTTTCCCTTGGGGATATCAGTCAAAGTTTATGATGTGTAAGAGAGAATAGAAAAGTACTGTCTCATCTTGACAAATCTGATTAGTATCACAGCATATCTTCAAGGACATACTAATAGTAGATATTTGCACAGTTATAATACAAGCAATTAAAACTCTATGTGTGTATATGGATATAGACATATATATATAATTATCATTCAAAGGATCATTCCTCTAGGACATTTGCTATGTAAATGTAGTTCCTTCTTATTTAGTATACGCAACTTTTCAAATTCAGACTGCTATGTGCCTTCTTTGGTGAAGAATGATAGATGATTTCCTATGATTTATCAATCTGAGCAACACTGCAGAGATCAAATTCAAGTATGCTAGAAGGTTATCTATTGAATGCTTTTGGCTGTTGGTGTAGCCAAGTCAGATTTCCCTTGAAAAACTCAGAATGTTATCCAATAAAATCACTACCATTAGATTCATTAAACTGGGAGTGAATAGCTATTGATGAAAATTTGTCTGGAAACCAGGCTAAGAAAAACGTTATACTGCTAGAGATTCCTGATGTAGATGCTTGCAATAAGATTCAGATGCCTAAGAAAGGTCTCCAGAGTTGTTATAGGTGCTTTACAGCATTCAGAGACAACCTCACAGGACTGGCAAGCATCATCTATAGGACAATAACTTCTGAACTGCCTAGAGGAACCCAGACAGGATGCCCTAAACCACTGAAAATAGAAATTAGATTCTTCTGTCTGTAGCTACTAATGTAAACAAAATTGGAGGAGCTTATTTGAGGACTACTGAGGAAGACCTTTTGCTGCTACATAATCTCATGTGAGGTGGATTGTATATGAATACCATTGTAATTTCATGACTTCAAAAAGAAGAGGCAATAACACCAAGACGGCTGCCCTCCCCCCTACAACCACTCCGTCATTGCAGTACCCATGGTGCTTTCCTGATGCTTTTCTCTGCCTGGTCCCTGCTTTGCAGTGCTGAGTTGTTGCGTGCATTTTTGTCTATCTCCTGTCAGTGTTAACCTCCTCCCCAAACTTACAGTGATGCTATTTGCACAGCTAGATCAGTAGAGAAAGAAGGGACCATCAATTCAGCCAGCAGTAATTCTCCTCTTTCTCAGAAAAGCGCCAAAGTGAAGAGGAGCTCCTACCCAAGAGGTCAGTGAGTCTTTAGGTGCCCAGTGAGGGAATGAGAAAGATAGGAATTTTTGGTGCTTTGAAACCACCTGATGAAGCCTATAAATTTTTACTTGTAAAATTGGCAGGAGTCATTCAGCGACAGGTTAAAATCAGATTCCTGAACTTCCCCAGACATTCTCGCCGCCCATATAATACACATTTTCTCTCCTAAGACAAATTTCACTGTCTATATTATAGCCAACCAGAATCCAAGTCAGTCATCTTTGGTATACTGGGATGAACACTGCAGTGGACCAGGAGATTCATAAGCAGATCAGTTGTCCCTGCTTTGGAGAGGCAACATCCATCACAGGAGTGAAGGGTGCAGCTGAAGGCTGTTACAATTTCAGCCATCCAATTTTAATCCACCACCACATGTCTGCTAGAGCCTCCTGGCACTTTGGGTTGTGATTGCTATTGATTTTCAATGAGGATAGGAACTTAAAAAAGTTATATATACATTTCTATAAAAAGATTACTCTGAGGATATATACCTCTGACTCCACATCACAATTTCTCATGTGCACAGAACTGCCCCATCAGGTCACAAATGTCACCTTTACATCAACAGATTGATTTGCTAAATTCCAAACTGCTAAAACTCTGAGATTCTTACTATTCCTCCGGTTTCAGAGTTGTCAGTTAGGATATAATCTGAAGACCCACAGGGTCTCATAGGTATAAATAAATCTTGTCAATTGGTGACAACTTTGAGGAGAACATTGTGCAGCTTTCAGAGTCCAGGGTGAGCTTGTAGTCCTGGCAGCTTAGATAAAATACCCTTTGTATTGTAAGCTGAGCTATCCCTAAGGCATAAAAAGCATAGGAGTCCATGGTTAAGGATGGGCACTAGATTTTTCAGTTCAGCAGCTATACCTCCCACTACTTTAGAAGCAAACAAAAAAAAAAAAAAACAAACAAAACACAAACCAAAACAAAAAATACCCATACTCCATTCAGACTCATGGAAATGTAAAATAGTAATTTTCTGTATTTATGTAATTACATCATTATTTTATGTATTACAGTCTTTGTTCTGCCAATAGCACATAAAAATGTCAAGTCATATTTAATGTGAAATGCCCTTTTAAGGCTGAGCATTTTAAAAGCAGAAGGCTAGTCATGCTATTAAAAAAAAAAAAAAGAGGTTGTTCCCTTTTAAATAATAGCTGTTGCTAGGGCGATTCTGTTGGGATGTGAGAAGCCTCAGTGCAGTCTGTTCTAAATGAGAGAGCTGGTAGATTTTGACTTGTCTGTTCCACTCCTCAGATGAACACTCCAATAAATAGGCTATAGAGTATTCTGGATTCAGGTCATTAATGGCTCCTGTTCGACCTATTCCACTTCACTTGGAATATTTAAATACTAATTAAGGGAGCAGAAAAGAGAAAGAATCACTGTATAAATTGACACTGTATGTTAAGCACCACCTTGAGCCTTGGGCTTTAACCTGGTGACCTCCTGCAAACAGGCAGGCAAGATCTCAGCTTACAGTAAGGAGGGTACCACAGGGAGAAGAGGACAGGGATTAGAACCCTTCAGTGAAGGACTGGGTAATGGATATGTAATAAGCATCCGCTGCAATTTTCAGCATCAGCATATCACCTTT